ACAACACCACGACCGCGTTCGTCAGCACTTTCCAGGCTTTTTCAATATATGAAAATAAATGAATTTTGAAAGATGGCTCTCATATATTCGATGCCGTGTCACCGCAGGAAAATTTTGGCAAACAATTTTGGGAAAAACCTATTCCTGCGAAATCGATGTCTTTATTCGTATGAAGGCAAGCAAGCAAATAAATCAAATTCAGATGATGAGAACATGTTCTTGATTCTAAATCTTCGAAACAGTAGATGCTTGCATGAAGGTTCATTAGAATATTTATGACAGGATGAAATACGATCCAATCGTCACAATTTCAAAGAATTTTCAAGAGGAAACATTATTTCTCAGACCAGTGGTATTTTTATGGCAGAATTTCGATTGAATTGAGATATTTAGAAATGCTGCCTCAATTTGCAATAGAATGATCATTTAACAGGCCTGTTTTCTTCCGGAAAATAAACCCCAGCTTTCGAGGATGAAATTTTCCAATTCTAATTGATATCTATAACAGCTTTCGAAAGGTATAACATAGCTTCCGCATCGTAATCTACAAGATTGAAGATATGAGATCTAAAACTTTTTAATGCAAGTTTAACAAGAATTTTATTTTAATTTTAGTGAGAAGACTGATTAAAACACTCAAAATATGCACTGTCGATTTTAGAGAATGCCAAAACGGTGCGTTGAAATCAGGGAATCCTCGAAATTTTCAAACATCATCCAAGACTTGAAAACTTTAAAGGTCCCCGACTAAAAACAAATCCCTGAATTTCAAAAATCTTTACTGTATACAAAACCCGTTTTTGAAGAGAAAAAAACCATACGATGCACCACCGTGAGAAGTCTGTTTTTCTATGCATGTGGAATCACCTTTCAAACGCCGAGTTTCAGGTTTCCCCGTCACATTGTTCAGGAGGAGTTATCTTCCGGTTCTTTTTTTGAAAGAATGACCTTCAGGTTATTGATTTCCTCAACATTTCAGATGAATGACGAGGCAAAAACAATATGAAGCTATTCATATAGATACGAGGGTTGATTTATAAGTTTTTTTCTTTTCAGAACTACTGCTTTTTCTCAATTTGACTTTTTTTGCGTGTTCGAAGATGAATTTATGGATTATTTTTCTTCCAATCGCTTTTGCAATAATTCCGCACCGAGATTCTAGGTTTGTATATAGTGACCCATCGGCGTATCATCCGAAAACTTGATATAAATATCGGTAAAATCATGAAAAAAAGATAGAAGATGGATGAAAATAGAATCAATACTCGTTTCCCGATGAAAATTCCAGCAATTTATGAAGAAGGTTTGAAATACAGGGTGAACCTAATTTGGATTTTAGAGAGTAAAGAGTCAATCCTCGACAAAAATGTTATTGCATCGCAGTGTTTTCCGTTAGAATTGCAGAAATGATTATTTGCTTAAAGCTCAAGAAATATTTTGAAACGGGATTAATTTGAAAACAAGCTCAAAAAGCAATAATACATCATGCAAGTGGCATTTTTGAGAAATGTTGAAAAATTCAACTTTGTAAATATAAAGTTTTCCCATTTCTTTCAAAAACAAAAAGCGGTTTTGCCGGTGAGTTTCAGGTCATCTGTGGTCATTCAGTTGGCCAACGTACTTGTCCTTGATTTATTGATCATGATTAATTGCGTGGAGCTCAGGCTGCGACAATAATGAAAACACTGGGAAAATTAAGTTTCGCAAAATAAGGTTTCTGCCAAAAAAAAAGTTTGTGTTCCAAGAGAAGCGCTCAGGAGTTGAAATTTGGTTCGCAGAGTTTTGGACTGCAAAATAATTTTCAGATGACCCTCAGCAGCGCGTGAACTGACCTTGGTGTCGTTGTGGATGATGTTGAGCTTGTATCCACTGAGCATCTTGGGATGAGAGTTGACGTCTGCGATGGCCAGGTCGACAGCGGGCATGACGCCTCGTCCCAGGTCACCCTCTCGAATTCCGCGATTCAGCGGGAAAAACCCGGCTAAGAACAGGTCAGTCTTTTTCGGGCCGCGCGAGGACGCCCCACTGCTGCTGCCGCTGCTGCTGCTCGTGCCGCGGCGGCCAGCAGCGTCGCCGGCAGCCGCCGCGGACGCCGCGGCGCCCGCGGCTGCGGACGCCCCCGCGTCGGCGCGTCCGCTCACCCCGGCGCAGGCGGCGACCAGGATGAGGCAAACGGACGCCGACAGGTGAGCGAGAGTCTGCGCGAGCCGCCGCATTCAAGCCTGCGCCTGCACTTGGTGTCGCTGTCGATAATGACTCTGCTGATGCTGACGATGATGTTTATGATGCGACGACGCGACACCAGCTCGGACGAACCGGAGCCGCTCCGGTTCTCGCGCCTTTACATCCGCGCCGCCCCACATCCGAATCCTCTTTTCTTGATGATGAATCAATGAGAATCACTTGAATAATGCAGTTATACACGATACGTTTTCGATAAAGAACATATCTTCATTAACATTAATGATGTGTTTTCGTCTATAAGCGTCCATTTGATAAATAATCACATGGTATATTTGATTCAATATGGCAGGAAGAAATGTGACCGGAAAAATCTGATTTTCCAGCTAATTCGTGTTTTCCTCATGTCAACGAAAAATGACCTGGCCTTTAAAAAAAATGGGATGAGGCTGTGAATGATACAATTCATATCATCGTGTGAGGACTTGGATAAAGCATATCAGCTTTGAACATTCCTTCGTCATTCTTTTCTTTAGGAAAACGAGGCATCTGGAATTGTTTTCAAATTTCAACTTTAGATGAAATTCTTGTTTCGGCTGCGTTTTTCGAACATTTTCAGCGTATTTTTTGGCGTCAACGGTCATGATTAAAACGAAATTATCTCATGTTTCAGAAAAATCTTGAAATGAAGGGGCCCAAGATTTAGTCCAACAATACTTAGGAGTGTTTCAGCAATTGTTGAAGAATTATTTTTAAAAATGACTAGGAATTATTTGAAACTTCAAAGAAGTTCATGAATACTTTTTTGCGCTGTAAATTCATGAATGATTTTTTAGATTTCAATCAGAAAAAAATTCAACTAAACCGTCCGCTTTTTTTAGTTTTCTTTTGGGAGCTTTGAACTATGAACTCGATATTCTTGTTGAATAAAATGATCGTCTTCTTCTTCTTCTTAAACCAGATTCAAGATGATTTCCTCGCCATTTCAAATTTCATATTAAAATAAGCGAAAAAATCTGTCGAAGGGAAATAAGTTCTAAATTTTTGTTTCTCTCCGAAAAAGTTATCAACTTCGTTACGAATGTGGTTTCTGCTCTAGTACTTCACATGTTACTTCGGGACTACAAAACAAGTTTGCATTAGAAATTAAAAGGTGAATATCGTAAAAGTTTCACATGGAAATTCATCATTATAGTTTCCTAAATGCCGACAACGAAGTCAGTCATCTTGATGGGCATTTTCAAGTAGGGTTTCGAAGAAATGATTTTATTGCGGAAAGTTGCTGAACCTTTATCGAAAAATTGATCCTTCACTAAACTTTCTCGCAACTCTGGATGATGAAGGAAAAAACGCCCCAAAAGAAATGAAAACTGCATATAATACGAGTAGGTTCTTTACGAAAATTATCGTCTATATTTCCAGGGCCATTAGCAGCTCTTCCAATAATAAAAGTGTGGGGAAAGTTCGGTGAAAACTTCTCAGCTCTTCGTCCGAGCTTCGTCCTAATCCGGTCAGGCACTAGCTCAACATCCTCCATCAGGTTTTTAAAAAAAAGTTTATAAGTAACTTGGATAAATTTGCACACACACATACATAAATAAAAAAATAACCCAGGCACCATGGGTGTTCGGGTCGGGGCCAGTCTCGGCACTGAGTGCAGCAGCTGCGGGAGTCTCCAGGTCGACGCCAGCAAGTTTCCTTCTGCACCAGCCCGACGCGCAGCACTTTTTATTTCCGCAACCCGGGCAGCAGCAGCAGCAGCAGCAAAAGCAAGCTGCACAAAAGACCCGTCTTATTGCAAACCCGACCAGAATCCTGACTTGCCATTCACTTCCTGCATGGACTCATTCAGCATTACTGGGCCGACTGCTGCTGATGGTCCCAATGTTCCAACGACTTGAAATGAAACACGCGTTTCCACGCTACTATTTTTTTTTATTTTATTTCGCTTCGTCCATTTATTGTACAGCTCAGGAAAAATCGCGAACAAAAGCGGAAATGACGACGTTTGCTGGGGAATTTAGGTGGGGTACTTTGCAGGCTTTGAGAAAATGCGCTGCGCAGTAAGTTTTGACGATATCGTGCGAATGAAATTTCGGCTTTCCCACGGGCATGCGAGGAAACCTAAACGATGTTCTTTCGTTTCGATTTCAGAGCGATACCAGTGACTCATGCAGAATGCATTTTATGGTTTTCCAGAAAATTTTCACGACGCGATGGGATTTCAAAAGAAATAATTTTACAGTACCTCAATGAACTTTCCTTCGTGCTTTTGGAACAGTAATACGGACACCCAGCTTTCGAATTTCACGAAAATTATTATTTTTTTCATCACGAAAGAAATTCTAGGTGTCGCTTGAAAACGATGAGAGTACTGTCGTGAAAATTAATCGGAGGTGAATCTTACCTCGACCCTGAAAAATTTCAAGGCCAAATTTTATTAGTAGATGGAACTTCGGCATCATCACATTCAAGTCAACGGTAAATAATACAATGTGAAATAAATAGAAAAATATTCAGACGTAACTCCGTCATTAAAATGTTAGGATTTGAGGGAAAGGAAACGCAGAAAATGTTTTGATTCATTTGGGCTAATTCTACCGTGTCTCACTCGATGTCAGTTGAAGAGCCAATGAACAAATAACAATGAGACACAAAAATAGCCCAAAGACTTCCGCATTAATTTAATTTAGGCAGGAAAGAATTATTGTCGGAAAATACTCGTCTGGATAATTTTCCAGGCGAATCAGGGCCTTATTATAGTCTGATCGACAACAAACAGTCGTTTTCATACAAGCAATACAATTATTATTTGAAATTCATATATTTCAAGATTCATACAATCTTTATTTTCTAAATATATGCTCATGATGCATTGTAATTTTTCAGTCGAACATATCACCTCCAATTTCTTGCAGAATTTTTCGTCGTATAGGCATTGTCGGTGTTAGTGACACCTACATTCATTTCTGTAAGCTACTCTTCTATATGTCTCCCAATCCTGAAGGTGTCACTTTATTTGAAGGAAAACATGTCGACTGAAAATTTTCACTTCTTGAAAAAATATCAATGTAAAAGAATGCAATAAAAATGTGATGCATCCAATGCCCTGACCGTGAAGGAAATTTTACGACATGAGATGCGATGCAAACCTATAAATCAGTCGGTATAATATTGTATCAGAGCATTTACCCGAACTAGAGCATTATCATATTTCCTTCTGGTTCGATTTTTCAGGGGCCGCAAGCAGATGCAAAACGGAAAAAAGGTAATACAGTATTGTTTTTGGAATGACGATATTGAATAAAACATGAGGTGGGTTTATATCTTATCCAGAATGTATACCCCACCCTTGTTCTGGAATGAGCCTCAGTCAACAGAAAGCCTTCGGGAGACCCAGGGCTCAAGGATTTGACCTTCCTGCGAATTTTGGTCGAGTGGATTCTCTGTTGAAAAACAGTGAAGTTCTGAAGCTCTATAGAAAAGCTGCTGAGGAACATGTTCAAGATTTCCCTTGTGAGTCCTCAAGCTTTCTTCTTCCGAGTATTTTTCAGACCATTTTTTTCGTTTGCGATCCGATGTAGGGAATATTTCCTCCAGAGAAACATTTTGGCCGAGCATCAAATCATCAGTTCGAGACTAGCGGTGGAAAATAAAATTCTGGATCGCAATAAAAGTTAAACATGAGGTATTAAAAAAATCCCAGGGCAATTTTCTGCTGGGCATTCTGTGAATTATCTCGATTCATGTGCTTGAATATGTACCTTCAAAAATTAGAATGAAGTCAAAAGCAGTATTCGTCCAACAACAGCATCAACGAAAACTGACGATTGAAAAGTATCGTGTTGTAGAAAACTCCGCATTGTATGCAAATGAATGCAAGTCAACAACGATCCCAAGGATCATCTGCGCAGTACACTATATAAAGCATATCATCTGAGCGCTATTCAGTATTCTAGTACACAACATCTGCATTATTCTGTTTTATTTCTTCTACGCAGATAAATTTTTACAGCATTTTGAATGCACACTGCTACAGTCGATTTTATGAAAAGCAGGCGACCTACAAAATTTGATAATTCTGGGAGTAGTTGAAGAGGTATACTGAGAAAAATTACTTCATGATTATTTTTCTGCGATCCCTTCTCGATCTGAACATGAGCTATTTCCGACTGAAAGGAAATTTAACTCTTTGCAGAACTCAATAAATCAATTCCGCTTTTGATTCCTCGACATTGCGATTTGATTTTGGTGGTTGATTAATCATTTTCCTTTTATTTTAAACTGTTCGACGTTTGTAGTATGAACGGGTATTGTCGAAGGCAATATTTTTTAGACACCAATGTTTCAACATTTTTACCAGTGGATTTTAGATTGATAGTTGAAAGTGCACCCATCATTACCCAGGAAATGAACCCAACGAGTACCTCCAACACCTATTTATGTTATTATCTCCCAAGAAGTTCAAGCGCTATCAAGCAGTTCAAATGATACAAAAATTTTCTGATTGATGATGTCCCCATACGAAAAACGTAGCTTCAATCGATAGAGTGGTTTTGGAAATAGTTGAGTCTATTACGATGGATTGATGTGAAATGCTGTCATTACGAATAATCCTAAGAAAAATAAGATATGTTTGATTTAAATCCTTTTTGTCGGTCATACGGTGGTTTCAGAGATCCGGAAACGGCAATTATTTGGCAACCTAAGACACGTTATTTCGAGGCTGTGGGACAAAAAATTTGTAGTACTTTCTTTAAAATTTCAAAAACAAGTTCTAGGGATATTTTCAGTAGGAGCACATAATCAAATTTCGATCATTGGGTTGACTGCCATGCAAATTTAACCCGTTGGATATAAATAAAATAATATTGTATTCATGTCATCTATTTTTTCAAATTACAGATTGGTCTGCTTTTCTTATTGGGTGTCGCGGAATGCGCATCAACTGCTACAACGACGAATGCGGAACCCATCGAAAATTCAACTGATGGACCCACTGAATCCACGGACATCATTTACGTTGAAGAACCCCGTTCGGAAACCCTGATCGAGGTGGAAACAGTTCCTGACGGATCAACCAAAGAAAACCCGACGCCGGATTTATTATCTGACGCTGCCGAACCCTTGTCACTGATAGGCGACAATAACGAAGTTGCTGACCTGGAACCCAGTGAATTCTTCCTGTTGCCATTCTTCGGGATCGGAAGGGGTTACGGAGGTTACGGGGGTTATGGGCGTTACGGGAGGGGTTATGGTTATGGGGGTTACGGAAGAGGTTTCGGGTTTGGGAGAAGGAGAAGGTACAGACCATTCGGTCCTTTCGGCGGTGCAGGATTGGGACGAGGATTTCGCGGAGGATTCGGCAGAGGATTTGGCAGAGGCGGCGGATTTGGACTTTTCGGCTGACGGAATGCTATTTGATTTATAACGTGGCACTAATAAAATGCCTTGTGGCATTGATTACTACAAATTTCAAACTCAACCCTCGGAATTTTTATTTGATTCGAAAACGGATGAAATTCGTACGATTCTCCTGTATATTCCAGTTTTGCATTTTTTTTTTTCAAGTGTGCAAGAAATTCGATACTTCAACACCCAGATGCCTCCAACCACAGAATTGTATCTGTTGATGCATAGGTGTCGCTTGCACCTCGTTTCAGTTTGTTAGATTCTAACTTGGCCGATTTGTCTACAGTTATACTGTATATACATTTTAAGCATGCTATTTCAAGATTAATTTGGTTTGAAAATGTTAAAATATTTTTCTCATTTGTGCGAGGATTCTTTTCATTAGAGCAGCTGACATCCTTGATTAGGGATCTAATTTGTGTGCGGAAATGTAGTGATAACAATCAACTGAAATAAAGCCGGGAATCGACAAAGTTCACGTTAAACAAATAAATAATAGAATGAAACGGCAAGATGAGTATATCCATGAAATCAACTTCCGCTGAAAAAATTGATCATGAATGAAGATTAAAGGATTAATGAAATGTGATGAGAGAGGAAATTTAAGCTGATAATTCCACATTTAACGAGCTTTTTTGAAATAGAATAGGGTCAGACAAGAGCTGATTGACATTGAGGGAACAAATGTACTGCACATATATTTTCTGGTACTTGAAAAATCCACCGTGCCTCTCATAAAAGTTAGATTTTTCCTGATAATGCAAAAGAAATTAACGAGAACATTTAAAGTGCAGTTTTTACTTTTAGCTTAAATTTTATTGATCAAGTTCTTCCGGGTACACGTAAAATCACCTTCTGGAAGAAATCCCTCAATTGGTCAGAGAAAATTTCCCCATCATGACTCATCGAATTTTTTCATGGGTATTTCCAGCCCGAGGGGGGGAAACGTCCCGAGTTCATCTCCAGACGTTTATTTTATTTTTTATTTTTTACCATGATATAATGAAAAATTGGACGCTTTTAATCACGTCCTGTAACTGGCTCGCTTCCAGTTTTTATGTCCTTAGGGATTTAGAGGAGGTGCAAGAACTTGAGAGGAAGAACTAGCTCCCCGAGCCAAGCGTCGTCGCAACGGTTGAGTTATCTCCACACTGATGACAGCTTGAATAATTCAGCATGAAGCCCTTCTACGCTGCAAAGTTAATGTTACCTTCCAGAAAATCGTATTCCCATATATCTTCATCATTATGAAAACACATGGACGAATTTCATTGAATCAACGGTCAAGATGGACCAGAATTTATATGCAAAGCATGATACGACGTTAACAATATATAGATAATGGAAGATTCCTCGGTAATACTGTACACGGTGATTAGAAAAGTTGAGCAGACATCCCATGAATTTGCTGTTTTCTTATAAGAAATAATACCTGGCATAATAATAAATTCTTGCCTATTTTCAGGATGAAATTTTTAGCGTATTTTCGCGTTTCCTGAAAAACATGCTCCTGAAAACTCGGCTATGAACCATTAATAAAATTATTTGATATTTGAGATCAAATCAGTTTTCCTATACCTGTATCTGTTGCTGAAACTATGTTAATTAATTTATTTTCATTCTTTTTGTCAGACCTTTTAAAATAAAAAGTGTGCTAATATTCTCGTTCTTAAAAAAATTAACAGATATTTTATGGATTTCTTTCGCACACTTTTGTGCCATTCTCCATAAAAATTCCCATTATTAGTGGCTCAGACATTTTTTTCTTAAATGAAAAAAAAAAAATCTGCTCAAAACTGTGGTTTGACCGGATAGACGCGTATTTGTTTCATATTCGCGTAAATAAAATCATAATTGGGCAACCAATAAAAAAAAGCTGTCTGTATAAAGAGTACCTCTTCAAAAATCCTCCAACAAAAAATACAGGTGAACTCACTCTATGAAAAATCAATCAGAGTTCAGAAGAAAATTCGTCGTAAAGAACCCCTATATAACCTGTGGAAATAATGCTATTCGAACACCATAATTCGTTTTCCAGAGAAAATCGTCGCAGAAAAGATTGTTTCAGACACTAAGTTTGATTTTTATACTTTTTATATTTATACAAGAATCTTCATATACAATTTGCTATTACAAAAGGTTCTTAAGGCGACGACTCTTTTATTTTTTTATGCGTCTTTTATAGTAACGTCTCTTATGATTCAACTTCCATCATATGACTATATACTGGCCTCTCTTCTTTTATGGGAGAAAACAAAGTAATGAAGTTGGCGACTCTGTTCAGCATATAGTTGGAAAGTGATGCGACTTTCCTGCGTTTCCTTCGGTTCCTGTTGAACGCCACTTTGGCATTGAAAAATGTGCCCATAAATACGATCGCCGCCCCTGTTAAGGGCGTCTCACACTTCCGCATCGGCTCTTGCTCACCTGTGGCTTTGACAACTACGCAATTCGCCGAAGCGGTGAAAAATCCCAGCATATCTCTTCCGACACGAGTAAACAGCATAAACAAAGTGGAGGTGGAAACGAAAAACAAAAATATTCAAGAAAGAAAGAAGAAGGGGGGGAAATACGCCTGAGGGTTCTTGCGGCTGAGTCGTATTTAAAGGTGCGGGTTGAGTCGGAGTTGGAGAATAATTTTGTGTTCGCTTTTCATCGGGGTGTCTTGTTGTGCTGGAATGCGGTTCTAGTGGTCTTTTTTTGGACGAAAAAAAAAGAACCAGAGAACTTGATTCATCCAAGCTTGAGGACATAAAAGCACTTCAGCGTTTTTAATATATTTTTATCAAGAAAGGGAATCATGAAACTGGTGAGTTCGTCAACTTCTTTGTTTTTCTGCTTACATTTAACCCGAGATTCAATCTCTAGAAATATGCTAACAACTTTTTCTGATGTTTAGTTTACCGAAATTGCGAACCTATATACTGTGGCTGCCGCAACAAATCTGCAAGAGGAATTCACTAACTGGCTTGATGTGCAATATTTGTTTTTAATTTAATAAAGTAATTCAGCGGTCATAGATGGCTTTACGCAGATTAAAGTTCAACGCTCAAAAATTACAATTTTTACTGTTTTATTGAGTATTCGTCATTTTCAGTATTCTGCACTCGACAATAATTTTTTTCAAGACCACCCCTTTTGGGAATGTTCACATCCTTAGCATAAAAGAATGCTTAGCATAAATGATTTGCTCGCAGAAGACTGCAGCTTTGAAAGATTTAATTAAAAGTGGCGTATGACTGAAATATCTGTTTGAGGAACAAAGTTACTTCTGACAATTACAGTACTTCCAAATTTCATTAATCAAAATTTTTTTCCAGCGACTTTAAAAAAAACCTATTTCTTGAATATTCCTTGAAATATTCAACGATTTAATCAATAGAAAATTGACTGGAGTTCGTCCATGAACAGTTTCTCGAATTATGAATATATTGTATCTGGAATTGTAATTAAGGAATCATACCATTATCTTATTACGTTCACGAGACTAAATAAAAAACGTATTCTGTCTGGTGAACAGGATAAATCGAGAAACACGAAAAGTACGATTGCTTCCCTATAATTTTTCTCGATCATATCTTATTTATATGATTGATCAATTCATCTACTAGGTACCTTCGACGAAAGCTGTTCATTTGTTCTTAGACGTGAATGGCTATTCAGCAATAATGCGATTTAAAATTGTGGATATACAGGCAACTAAAGAGTACTGTACAAATTAAAGACTGAATTTTACACCTGAATATTAACCACATGGTTATTATGCAGAATTCGTCTCACTGAAAAATAATAATTTATTTCATTCGATAAACGGTGTTTCATCTTTTTTTAAACATGAAAATTCATCAATATTGTCGTCATGAGCAGATTTTTCCTTTGTAGCGCGGTCACCTGGATGGATCAGCATATCCTTAAATGTTGCTCTTGATATTTTGACAGCAGGTGTCGCTCCTGTTCTGCATGGCATTCGCTGCTGTTTTCGCCGCTGCTGCCAGCAGTCCCGTTGAAGAATCCGGCTCCAAGTCCGAGCTTCCAGTGAATGCACCAGAAGAACCAGAACCAGCATCTGATCTGGAAGGAAGCGAATTTTTCCTGCTCGGCAAATTGATTGACAAATTACTGTACAAGCACGGGGGTTATGGTTACGGTTACGGATATGGTCGGGGTTACGGCCACGGGTACGGATATCGCCGACACGGATATTATGGCGGACATTACGGCGGACATTACGGTCATTATGGGTACTACTAATAGCTAATGAGGGTTCAGAGCATTCGTGGATGAGTCAACCCGTTTTTATACATTCTTTCCGCATTCCTGAATTGATGAGGAGCGCTTTAATGCCATCAAATAAATTATAAATTACAGCGGATGAAAAGAACACGGGCATGTTTGAATCCCGCTTTCAGTTCGATCGAGGAGGAATTTCCTTCAAATTTTTTGAAACTTCATGAAGAAGTTTCAACTTTTTTTTGCATGTCAAGCTCTTTGTCAACAAAATTGAATACTTATGTTCGTTGTTTGCTTTTCCTGTATAGCTGCTGAAACAAAATGGAAGACAGTACTCAGTAAGAATTTTGAATCATGGGATTTCTCTCATTCGAGGCAGTATTAGCCATTTTAAAATAACCGATTCCCATCGGTGGAAAAATCTGGCATTTGAATATTTAATTTAATGCGAGTTATAGACCCGAAAATACTCGAGGAATTCGCTCTGAATTTCAAGATATGTTGAATATGATGATTTTGCTTGAAATTCAAGAATTTATTCAAAGGCGTAAAAGCTTCAAAATCGTATTCCTTATTGTGTTCGGAAATAATTTAACTGAATTTGTGAGTCATTTTCTTGCGCCGTTGGGAAGAAAAACATTGAGGAAAGTGGATTTTTTCATGCCAGCAAAAACCGCGTGATATTCAATGTTCGAATTTGCGTGCATTACTTCAACAAATGGATTGACCTCATAATTTCTTCGGTTCACATCACGCACGGCAGGTATTTAACTTTCGCTTTGCTTTCAGTTGATCTGTGATCTTTTTATTTCGTGTGACCCAATAAAGAAATCTTGATGGCAT